TTAGTGATTTTTTATTAAAAGCTTTGTGTGAAAAATGCTATGCTAAAGAGCTCAAACCACACCGAGCGTCCACCATTTTGAGAACCTAAGAGAGACAGCCCATGTCACGTCAAGGGGCCTCCCTCCCATTTTTCTTAAAGAGACGCTGCTCGCTCCCTCACTATCCATCCTTTGGTTCAAACAGTCTTATACTGCTATCCAGTGGTCAAAAAAGGTACTACACACAAAAATGAACCAACATTTCTTAAATTTGACAATAATTACTAATTATTGTCATATGTCAAACAATATTATCGTTTATCGCAATAATTTCTGAGACAATTAATCGCCCAGCAAAATTTGTAATTGTGACAGGCCTAGTTATTATAATATTATAATTATTATAATATTATAATAATATAGTTATTAATGGGCAAACTGACACACGCCATTAATTATCCACATTGGGTCCTCAGGCTGCACGCATAAGCTGACGCAGCGGCTGAGTCCAGTTAAGCTTCAGGTGAGTCACTGGCAGTCATCCATTTGGACTTTTTTTTTTTTTTTACCTCTTTCAACCGGCCAGTCCGCACGCGGTCAAACGGACGCAGCTGGTAATCAAAATTGGATCGTCAGCCATGCGTTTCCGTGACGCAATCAAGAACCGGACACTAACCCGGCCCACCCCGTCCTACACATTATTTTGGCCCGGCTCGGCCTGAATTTTCGGGTTGGGTAGGGCCGGGTGTGGGCCTGGGTTAGAAATGACATCTCTATTCTGAGCACAAACTGTCCTTAAAATGTAACTGTTGGGGTCAGCAAAATATCTCACAAATCACTAGGATTGTTTTAATAAAACTTTCAGCAAATAATCATTGGGTCTACATTTACAATTGATTATTTCTCCAGTCAGTGTAAATCAAGATGGCCACCACAGTTAATCAACATTAGCTAACATTTCATTAACATGAAACAGATCAGCAGCAACATGATGTGATTATTCTGGTTAGAGATTCATGAGTCTAACAGCCTCAGGGTAGAAGCTGTTCCTCAGTCTAGTGGTTCTACACTTAATGCTCCTAAAGCTCCTTCCTGAGGGGAGTGGGGTAAAAAGTGTGTGTGCTGGGTGAGTGTGGTCCTTCATGATGCAGGAAGAGAGCCACCTGCATCATGA